TGAGAGTGTGTGTGTGTGTGTGTGTGTGTGAGAGAGAGAGAGTGTGTGTGTTTGAGTATGAGTGTGAGAGTGTGAGTGTGAGAGTGTGTGTGTGTGTGTTTGAGTATGAGTGTGAGAGTGTGTGTGTGTGTGAGAGTGTGAGTGTGAGAGAGAGAGTGTGTGTGTGTGTGTGTGTGAGAGAGAGAGAGTGTGTGTGTTTGAGAGAGATAGAGTGTGTGTGTGTGTGAGAGAGAGAGAGTGTGTGTGTTTGAGAGAGATAGAGTGTGTGTGTGTGTGAGAGAGAGAGAGTGTGTGTGTTTGAGAGAGATAGAGTGTGTGTGTGTGTGAGAGAGAGAGAGTGTGTGTGTTTGAGAGAGATAGAGTGTGTGTGTGTGTGAGAGAGAGAGAGTGTGTGTGTTTGAGAGAGATAGAGTGTGTGTGTGTGTGAGAGAGAGAGAGTGTGTGTGTTTGAGAGAGATAGAGTGTGTGTGTGTGTGAGAGAGAGAGAGTGTGTGTGTTTGAGAGAGATAGAGTGTGTGTGTGTGTGAGAGAGAGAGAGTGTGTGTGTTTGAGAGAGATAGAGTGTGTGTGTGTGTGAGAGAGAGAGAGTGTGTGTGTTTGAGAGAGATAGAGTGTGTGTGTGTGTGAGAGAGAGAGAGTGTGTGTGTTTGAGAGAGATAGAGTGTGTGTGTGTGTGAGAGAGAGAGAGTGTGTGTGTTTGAGTATGAGTGTGAGAGTGTGTGTGTGTGTGAGAGTGTGAGTGTGAGAGAGAGAGTGTGTGTGTGTGTGTGTGTGTGAGTATGAGTGTGAGTGTGAGTGTGAGTGTGAGTGTGTGTGTGTGAGTGTTGGGGGGTGCACCAACATGGAAAACCCGCTATTAATACATGCATACTGAAGTGATGTCACTGACAAAGTTGACATTCCGCCGCTAACCCTGATAACACGTGTTCATAAATCCAGCGCTCAACAACACACTGCACATCCTCCAGCGCTCTACCACTCTCTCACACACACACACACACACACACACACACACACACTGCAGCATTACGACAGTATCATTCAGATACGATTACAGTTCTTATTAATATTCCAAAGTAGCTTTCATTTTTCTATTTTCATTTTATTTAAGTTTGATAATTTTGTTGTGTTTTTGTAATCATTATTTTATATTGTAATAACATTTTGCAAGATTACTGTTTTTTTCTGTATGTGTGAGTGTGTGTGTGTGTGTGTGTGTGAGTATGAGTGTGAGTGTGAGTGTGAGTGTGAGTGTGTGTGTGTGAGTGTTGGGGGGTGCACCAACATGGAAAACCCGCTATTAATACATGCATACTGAAGTGATGTCACTGACAAAGTTGACATTCCGCCGCTAACCCTGATAACACGTGTTCATAAATCCAGCGCTCAACAACACACTGCCAGCGCTCCAGCGCTCTACCACTCTCTCACACACACACACTCTCTCACACACACACACACTCTCTCACACACACACACACACACACACACTGCAGCATTACGACAGTATCATTCAGATACGATTACAGTTCTTATTAATATTCCAAAGTAGCTTTCATTTTTCTATTTTCATTTTATTTAAGTTTGATAATTTTGTTGTGTTTTTGTAATCCTTATTTTACATTGTAATAACATTTTGCAAGATTACTGTTTTTTTCTGTATTTCTGATCAAATAAATGCAGCCTTGATGAGCAGAAGACACTTCTTTAAAAACATTACAAGTCTCACTGATCCCAAACTTTTCAGCGGTAGTGTATCTATAAAATATAATATATTTATTTTATAATTTTAAACATTTATTTATCTCAAGTTTATATTATTTATAGTTTTAGTCAACTACAATAACTCTGACACAAGCTTACAAAAGGTGCTGACATGATCTTCTGGAGAACGTTCTGGCAAGGAGATAAAGTCAAGAGCAGGGAGGGAAATCAATCAGAGAAAGCGTAAAACATTTGTTGTATTCGAGAAGATTCAAAATGTTTAAATGGAAGAAATACTGTAAAAAAAATTTTTGAAATTAGGGTTGCAAAAAGGTGGAAAATTTCCAGTAAATGTCGGAAATATTCCAGAAATTTTGGAAACTTTCGCTGATTTTTTTTTTTGGAATATTCCAGGAATTTTGGGAAAGTTTCCGGAAACTTACCAGAAATGTTCCACCCCTAGTTGAAATAATCACCAAGTTTCCACACTAAAGAATTACACTTTTGATTTATTTATATCTACACTGCAATATTTACCTACAGATATTTTACTAAAACATTTGAATACATATTTGAGTGATGATGCAAACATATTTTTTGTTTAAATTCACTGAGTCAATTCAAACGGGCAGTGAATCAAACTCTAAAATCAATCAAATTCTATCAGCAGAATTTATGTCAAAAATAAAAAGCCTATTACAAATAATCACAATTTTCCCAATGCTTAATTTCATTATCGTCCGTAAATAAATCCTGAGTGTTAATGGACGAGACTGGGAAGTGTCTGTGTGCATCTAATGAAGATGTTTTTTAATAATTCCTGCATTAATCAGCTCCAGCCGACTGTTTCTCATGTGCTGGTAATCCCAAGGTCATGGGTTTGATTCCCAGGGAATGTGTGAACTAATAAAATCCGTATCTTGAATACAATTCAAGCTGCTTTGGATAAAAGCATTTACCAAATGGCATAAATGTAAATACTAGAGCCCGACCGATATGGGTTTTTGTGGGCCGATACGGATACCGATATTAGGGAGTAAAAAGGCCAAAATCGATATATCGGCCGATATTCTTTGTGGCAAACAAGTTTATTTTTTCTGACCCCACTGATTTATATTTGGTCATGTTATTTGTTCAAGTTTTTGTTGATATTTTGAATTAGATATTATTTTTTACATTTGAATAATTTTCAAGTTTTAGCTATTTTATTGTGTTTCTATCATTTTTATTAGTTTTTCTTTTAAATATGTCCATTTAGGTTAGTTTTTTAGTTTTAGTTTATTTAGTTTTAGCTATTTTAGTACTTACACTTGGCAACTAGCTGAAATAAAATAAGTTTTATTATAAAGTTTTTATAAACAGGGCTCGTACACATTTTTACCAATAAATTTCCATGACTTTTGAGAAAATATTCATGACCTAATGTTCCATTATTTTACAAGTACACATGTAAAATAAGAATAAAAATCTGTTTGAATTTATTATAGCACATGTGACCCTGCTAATCAGAAATTAAGTTTTGATATATTTATGGTAGGAAATTTACAAAATATCTTCATGGAACATGATCTTTACTTAATATCCCAATGATTTTTGGCATAAAAGAGAAATGTATAATTGTGACCCATACAATGTATTGTTGGCTATTGCTACAAATATCCCCCAGCGACTTAACACTGCTTTTGTGCTGCAGGGACACATTTTATTTTATACATATATTTTTAAGTAATTAATTTATTTATAGTTGTAGTTTTAGTTAACAATGATAAAACAAGTATGCTTAGATACTGGTAAAACAAGACAAAAGCACTGAGGAAGAACACAGAAACTCGAGTTCATCGCTGTATTATTCGGAGAACTCGCCGAGACTCTGGTGTGTGTTTGTACCTGGTTCTCAGGAGTCAAGCGCGGCGCGGAGCTCTGGTTCCTCGACAGATGCTGATGATAGTGAATCATGTGATTCTGCTGACTGTTATTTGACATTTCTGCCATTCGCCGCTCCATCTGCTCCAAACGCTCCAGAATCGACATCCTGAACTGGTTATCTAGAGAGAACATCACAGAACATTCACCGCTGTAATGTGACGCAATTCTGAAGGATGAGAAGTAACTGCATGAGAGATTAAACTGAATAAATGGACGTTCTCTCCTAGAATACAGCGGGAGCTCAGAGTGAGTTTGCTAAAGCAACTATACTGGGAAAAAACTAGTGCAAATCTTTACTAATAAATTGCTAGTGAATTTCACAAATAATTACAAAGAAACAGCAAGTTGAATTACACATTGAATTAACTTGAAATTTCGAAGTAGAAAAACTGAAATAATATTATCTCATCAAACATACTTTAATAATCTTGTGTTTTTGTCATCATTTAATAACGTCTATATAAGTTTTAGTTTATTTAGATATTTCAGTTATTTTTGTACTTCCACTTAAATGAAAGGAAAATGACAAATGTTGTCTCACACACGCAGTCACACACTCATGCAGACTCACGCACGCACACACACACACAGTCACACACACACACACACACTCACACACACACACACTCACACACACACACACTCACACACACACACACTCACACACACACACACTCACACACACACACACTCACACACACACACACTCACACACACACACACTCACACACACACACACTCACACACACACACACTCACACACACACACACTCACACACACACACACTCACACACACACACACTCACACACACACACACTCACACACACACACACTCAGTGACACACACACACGCAGTCACACACTCATGCAGACTCACGCACGCACACACACACACTCTCACACACTCACGCCGCGCGCACACACACACTCACAGTTCAGTCACACACACACACGCAGTCACACACTCATGCAGACTCACGCACGCACACACACACACTCACAGTCACACACACTCTCTCTCACACACGCACAGTCACACACTCACGCGCACACACACACACACACACAGTCACACACTCACACACAGTCACACACTCACACAGTCACACACACACTCACGCACGCACACACTCACACGCGCGCGTGCACGCACGCACGCTCACACACACACACACACACTCAGTCACACACACACACACTGTCGCGCGCGCGCACACCTCACTCACTCACACGCTCACTCACTCACTAACACACACACTCACTCACTAACACACACTCTCACTCACTCATTCACACTCACTCACACACACACACACACACACACTCTCACACACACACACACACAATCACACACACACTCTCACACGCACACACACAATCACACACACACTCTCACACACACTCTCACACGCACACACACGTACAGTGATCTCTAAGATGAACCTCCAAACACACTTAGAGCAGTTTTAACACGCAGTCTGTCCTACCTACACCATCCATGTGTCTCTGCGCCATTGTTCAGATGATCCGATACAAACAGCGAATCAGAAAAAGCACAACTCCATCTCTCTCTCTCTCTCTCGGTCAGGACTGAGACATGTTCGAAAATGTGAGTACACAAGCATAAAAATGTTTTTGAGCCCAAACACACTCAGTACTCAGACACACAATCAGAGAAGTACAGGTGCATCCGATCACAGAGCGACACGTGAGAGAGAGCCAGACGGACGAAAGAAAGTATTCCACACGGACAAGATCCTGCTGGATCCTGACAGACGTCTGTCCTCGAGCGGGGAAAGTCCCGAATGAGACGAGAGAGGGACGCAGCGGAGCTTAAATTACTGAGAGAGACAGACCTCGTACACATGGATTTAAATAGGCTTTAAGTGAGCGGCAGAAATAGAAACCGGCTGATATCCACACTGAAGCGCAGAACTATAGACACGCAGACAAACAGAGCAAAGCCGTGTCAGTGATGTGTGTCTATTAGAAAGAAGAGAAAGATTTCGGTCTGATGTTCACGATTAACTTGTTATTTATATACTATAATATTCATTAATATTTTTACATTTTCTCTCTCGGTTTTTATTTTAATTTGAGTTAAAGCTTTTATTTTTATATTTTCAGTTTTATTTACATTTTTGAAAGCAATTTTATTATGTCCTTTTATTAATTTTTTATATAGCTTTAATTCATTTTTTGCTTAATTTTAGTAGGTTTAGTACATAAACTTAACTTTAAGTAAGTCTAATATTTATAATTTATATTATTTATGCTTTATTTAAATACTATTTAATACTCGTACACTGGACGAATAGAGTTTCAATCACGGTCACGGATTAATTACGACGTTTAGCGCTTTAATGCTCGGAACAGACGGTTGTGATGAAATACTAATAAATCATAATCTACAAATAATAAATAAAGCGATTCATTTTGTGAGTCCCGAAGTTTCAATAACTACTTTCTTCAATAATAACAATAATTATTGAGTGGAAATTTGATTTCAAGTCAACATTATTTATATAGCGCTTTTCAAAATACATATTGTTTCAAAGCAGCTTTACAGAAAATCATAACGTTAATATTTATAAAATATTAATATCTTCATGCCTCATATTTTGCATTTATCAGATTAGAGCTGAATGATAATTTAATCACATTTTGCAATGATATAAACACAGAGCTGATATTTGCTATAAAGTACATATTTCTTGTGAGTGTTGGGAATATATCCAAATTTTTTAGTATTTTAATTTAGATTAGCGTTAGATCATTTTAATATATTAATAATAATTTAATTTAAATACTTTTAAGTCGCCGTTCAGAACCCCTGAAATCAACGCATGTGCCGCTGTCCTGTGCTTTGAGTTCACTCTTTTTGAAATATCACACAATAATTTCTATATCTTTATTTTATTTTATTTGATTACTTCCATATTTCTCACGCAAACGTCATCTTCTGTCACCTGTGATCACGTTTCATCCCTGCGCTTCTGCTCTTATGACCATCATCTCTCTTCTGTTACGAGCACAGATCAAATGATACGGCTATTCTCATCTGTGATGCTCTTCACATGGAGGATCAGAGCGAGTGTGTGTGTGTGTGTGTGTGTGTGTGAGAGAGAGTGAGTGAGGGTGTATGTTTCCCCTTCATGGGAACTTTGAACTGCGTCCTCTAGCGGTCGCTATGGGGAACGCCTCGTCGTGACCCGTGTCTGAAGCATACATTGGCCATACACTGGCCAGCTATCTCTCTATGGGTGAGACGTCCTCTAAGACTCCCCTCCTTGACATCTCGCTCGGATGCAAGGGCATACACAGCAGCAGCCGGTCGGGCTGTCACATCATTGCACACGATGGTGATGCTCCCAAGTATATCAGGCTGACCTGCTGAAAGACTGGGATAGCGACCTTCACGAAGTCCAGGTCTGAGCCCGAACAACCCAGGGGTCCTAGCCACGCACACACACAATCACACACACACTCTCACACACACTCTCACACGCACACACACGTACAGTGATCTCTAAGATGAACCTCCAAACACACTTAGAGCAGTTTTAACACGCAGTCTGTCCTACCTACACCATCCATGTGTCTCTGCGCCATTGTTCAGATGATCCGATACAAACAGCGAATCAGAAAAAGCACAACTCCATCTCTCTCTCTCTCTCTCGGTCAGGACTGAGACATGTTCGAAAATGTGAGTACACAAGCATAAAAATGTTTTTGAGCCCAAACACACTCAGTACTCAGACACACAATCAGAGAAGTACAGGTGCATCCGATCACAGAGCGACACGTGAGAGAGAGCCAGACGGACGAAAGAAAGTATTCCACACGGACAAGATCCTGCTGGATCCTGACAGACGTCTGTCCTCGAGCGGGGAAAGTCCCGAATGAGACGAGAGAGGGACGCAGCGGAGCTTAAATTACTGAGAGAGACAGACCTCGTACACATGGATTTAAATAGGCTTTAAGTGAGCGGCAGAAATAGAAACCGGCTGATATCCACACTGAAGCGCAGAACTATAGACACGCAGACAAACAGAGCAAAGCCGTGTCAGTGATGTGTGTCTATTAGAAAGAAGAGAAAGATTTCGGTCTGATGTTCACGATTAACTTGTTATTTATATACTATAATATTCATTAATATTTTTACATTTTCTCTCTCGGTTTTTATTTTAATTTGAGTTAAAGCTTTTATTTTTATATTTTCAGTTTTATTTACATTTTTGAAAGCAATTTTATTATGTCCTTTTATTAATTTTTTATATAGCTTTAATTCATTTTTTGCTTAATTTTAGTAGGTTTAGTACATAAACTTAACTTTAAGTAAGTCTAATATTTATAATTTATATTATTTATGCTTTATTTAAATACTATTTAATACTCGTACACTGGACGAATAGAGTTTCAATCACGGTCACGGATTAATTACGACGTTTAGCGCTTTAATGCTCGGAACAGACGGTTGTGATGAAATACTAATAAATCATAATCTACAAATAATAAATAAAGCGATTCATTTTGTGAGTCCCGAAGTTTCAATAACTACTTTCTTCAATAATAACAATAATTATTGAGTGGAAATTTGATTTCAAGTCAACATTATTTATATAGCGCTTTTCAAAATACATATTGTTTCAAAGCAGCTTTACAGAAAATCATAACGTTAATATTTATAAAATATTAATATCTTCATGCCTCATACTTGCATTTATCAGATTAGAGCTGAATGATAATTTAATCACATTTTGCAATGATATAAACACAGAGCTGATATTTGCTATAAAGTACATATTTCTTGTGAGTGTTGGGAATATATCCAAATTTTTTAGTATTTTAATTTAGATTAGCGTTAGATCATTTTAATATATTAATAATAATTTAATTTAAATACTTTTAAGTCGCCGTTCAGAACCCCTGAAATCAACGCATGTGCCGCTGTCCTGTGCTTTGAGTTCACTCTTTTTGAAATATAACACAATAATTTCTATATCTTTATTTTATTTGATTACTTCCATATTTCTCACGCAAACGTCATCTTCTGTCACCTGTGATCACGTTTCATCCCTGCGCTTCTGCTCTTATGACCATCATCTCTCTTCTGTTACGAGCACAGATCAAATGATACGGCTATTCTCATCTGTGATGCTCTTCACATGGAGGATCAGAGCGAGTGTGTGTGTGTGTGTGTGTGTGTGAGTGTGTGTGAGAGAGAGAGTGAGTGAGGGTGTATGTTTCCCCTTCATGGGAACTTTGAACTGCGTCCTCTAGCGGTCGCTATGGGGAACGCCTCGTCGTGACCCGTGTCTGAAGCATATATAGAGAGACGCTGGCCCAGCTATCTCTCTATGGGTGAGACGTACTCTAAGACTCCCCTCCTTGACATCTCGCTCGGATGCAAGGGCATACACAGCAGCAGCCGGTCGGGCTGTCACATCATTGCACACGATGGTGATGCTCCCAAGTATATCAGGCTGACCTGCTGAAAGACTGGGATAGCGACCTTCACGAAGTCCAGGTCTGAGCCCGAACAACCCAGGGGTCCTAGCCAGTCTCAGTTTGAGGATCAGAGACTGGCTCAGAAGGCTAGTGTC